CACATGAATATGATTTCGCTTGGTTGGTGATAAAAGGCTGCGGAATCGAAGACGGCCTTTTTCTTTCTATTTGAGAATCGTATCCCAATTGCCTATGGAACAGTGGTGTCTGGAACGTTTGGAACGATGATAGTTGAGTTTGAGTCATGGTGGGAACAAAGTCAAACACTCAGAATTACAAATAACATTAAGGACGAAATGTAAGTCAACATCAGTTCCACTTCTATACGCCTCCAAACAAACTAAAATTACTATTAGTTTTAGAACGAAAAAAGCTTATATCAGTAGAGATAGGTTATTTGTTGTACTTTTGAGGTGAATACTACTCAGTTTTAGCCTTTATTTAATGTTTATCAGAAGTTATTCAGGTTAATTTCCGTATTTCCAGTTAACTGATTTTATTGGACTGAAATGCTCCATCTTCGACGACAAATCAGAATCCATCAAGGAGGTTTCTAGGCATCTGAAGACTGGCGTGGTGTTATTTGACTAATGGTAGCTAGCAGTTGAGTCTGGGGTGAGTATTTCAACCCATTTGGATTTCGTCAACTGGATACCCTTGAATGTTACAGTGAGTCATGGCATTTGCACTGAGACACTTAAGGGTTTGAAATGAAGGTCTCATCTTTTTACTTCTCATGTTTTAAAGACTAAGTGTATGGCAGAATTAATCGTTCGCAACCATAAACGCATTACACAAGATAATTTTCAGTAAATCTATCTAATTAGGACAAAAAATTGAAAATAATTTTGTAGTATTTGACCGGAAGATAGCTATTACTGCTATTTGAAATATTTCATTTGATTGACAGCTGAGCTGACATGGATTATCAGTGGAAAATTTTCAATTAAAGTGAAACTTTTCAACGTATCACAAACTTCATAAAGAAAGCATTAAGGTAAACAAAGTATGTGCAAAAAATACTGTAATGAACGGAATTTGTTAGGCAAATAAAAAATGTCAGCATGGAGAAGAATGTAGATTTTATACATCCAGGAGATGACAAACAGTGAATGAATGAATTAGGGTTATTGGATTTTAACCGTACCACCTACAATCTCTGCGACTGGTTTCTTAACATTTTGGGAGAGCCAGGCATTTAACATCTCCCAACGTGACTGAAACCAACAGTCGAATACTCTAGGGACGGATGCCATATTTTCATTTAACCATCACTAACTCTCCTACAACTCGATCTTATTACAGCTTAATGTCCCAGTTGATGACTTTGCCTCCTTAATCAATACTCTACGTTTTACCTGAATATCACTTATCATATTGAGCCCACTAATGAGAAAGATAGGGTACAGATAACTGCAGTCAATAACCTCTATACACTTCACATTTTCTACTTTGTAGAACCCAGTGCAGATTTAGCAGAAGGCGTGAACTTAAGATTTTGTAATTCCTTACGTAGTGATGGTTATTAAACGAATTTCCGATCGACAGAAACAGTGAAATGAGAAAAGCCTAGCGAAGGCTTCCTTTTCAAGTTAACATACACTCTTTCTTAAACTACCTGCGTTAGGTGAATTGATGACCTATTTAGGGACTATAGTTAACAATTTAGCAAACAGAACGCCGGACCAATATTTGGTTTGTCGGTAGTTCTAATCCTATCACAGCTAAGATTCTCGAATTTTACTTTATTCAAAGATGAATTAATGCCACAGTGAAGTAGACACTTAAGGTTAGCTATTAATGTGGATTAGCTCTAAGAAACTGGTGAAATTACTGGAGACTAACAGATATGTCTTTATTCCTTTTGCTTCCGCTTATCAACGTTTTAATCAAACAAGGGTGCTTATTATCACCAATGATATTCCTAATTGTGGTGGACTGGATAATGCGTCAGACAGTGAGTGGGAAACGAGAAGACAGGGATATCTATCCTGGACCGATGTGAAGAACCTAGAAGACATGGATTTCGCGCGTGGATGATTTATGTTTGATGTCACACACAATCGAAGACTTACAAGGGAAAACCGACAAACTGGTCAAAGAAGCGGCCGGAGAAGACAGGACTCCAAGTGAACATAGACAAGACGGAGGTTATGAAAATAACCAACCAACAACAACCACAACAACAGCAACAACATCCAACGTCAATCACCATCAACGGAAAGGATTTGAAAGAGGTTTCTTCATTCACTTCGCTTATCTAGGGAGCATTGTCTCAACTACAGGCAGTCGGAACGGACGAGGATGTCAAATCGAGAGTCAGGAAGGCAAGAAACACATTCATCAACCTGAAACCACCAAAACTCAGCATCAACAACAAAATTCGATCGGATTTTCAATACACACACGTCAAGTCAGTCAGTTCTTCTATATGGATCAAAAACTTGGCGGGCGGGTCAAAAAGAATATTTCCAACAGCCTGTTGCAGACCATTATCAACCAAAACCTGTCTTCGCTGGCTCTATACTGAAGATCAGATGGTCGGGTAGGGCCGGAAATAATCACCAACAAGAAACAACTATGGGAACAAACAAACAAAACAAGAACCAATCAACCAACCAACAAATATGCAGGAGAAAGTGGAGGGAGATGGATTGGACACTCGCTCGCTGAGGAGGCCGCTGGGTGACATCGCGCGCGCGTCAGGCCTTTGCTCGAGTGGAACCAGGCCAAAAGGGAAGTGGCGACAAGGGGACGTCAGTGCAAGGGTAACATGGAAGAGATCGTGTGAAGAGTTGAGGAGTTGAAACAGTATGGACTAAGATGGATGCAGGTGAAAAGTACGGTAGGAGGAAAACAGAAGCAAGTGGAGACGTGCAGTTGAAGCCCTATATTCCATCAGGAACCCAAGGGAACAATAATAATGATATCTTTGTTTATTTCTAAATGGGATGTATACAATTTTCAGTGGAACGAATATTATTGGATAGTATTTTCTCTTCATCCAGAATCTTAAAGTAAAATAATGATTGACTGTTGATTGCATAACACACTTCTCTGTGACCTGAAGCGCACCCACATCACTTATGACGTTTCTTTCTTGTCTTCTTCAAAAAAACGCATGAAATTTGGTTCAAAGACGGTCAAATGGTGCACGAGGACATTTTTACACCAAAGGGCATAAATGAATAATTAAAGGATGAATGTAGTCAGCTTCATTTCCCAGGTGCTGGTAGTTCGTAATAAAAATCTTAAGAACAATTATATCATGTATTGGAATACGCTGTTAACCACAGTTATGCATTTTCTCAAGTATAGTAGAAATTTGCAAATCAGCAGGTTTTAAACATTTTAAATACTCGCGGGGTAAACAATACCATTAGAGGTCATATTTTAATAGATTAAAACAAAGCGTACATGAGAAGCTGTAAATAATATATTGACGAAGGCATTTGGTAGCTCAAGTTTTAAACAGACCGGAGAATTCATGTTAAGTTAGATAAAAGAGGAAGTAATACCAAAACCACAAATTCTCGGCATCCTCACATTACAACAGGTCATAGCAAAATACTAAGCCGCATCACCCTGGAGAGAATCAAACAAGCCAACCTCGATGAAAAACTTCGACCGAAACAAGCTGGATTCAGGAGAAACAAGTCATCTATTGATCAAATCGCCACTCTAAGGATCATCATTGAACAAAGCTTGGAATGACAGTCACCTCTCTATCTCAACTTCATCGACATTGAAAAGGCCTTCGGCAGACAGCGTCGATCGAGAGGTGATTTGGCTACTACTTCGCTACTACGGGGTGCCATCAACAATCATACATCTCATCCAACAGTTATACGACAATGGTGCATTCCAAGTAATCCACAACAGGAAACTTACGGAATCCTTCGAAGGGGAGACGGGAGTAAAACAAGCTGGCTACCTACTAGCACCAATGATTTTCCTGATTGCAGTAGATTGGATTTTGCGACAGATAGCGGGCAATGAGGAAACAGGCATAAAAATCGATCCACACAAAAACTTGCAGGATTTGGACTTCGTCGATGATATATGTTTCATTTCCCACAAACTGGAAGATGTGCAAATGAAAAGCAACAAGTTGGCAGAAGAAGCACCAAAGATAGGACTCCAAGTAAACATAGAGAAAACAGAGGTGATGAAGATTCCTGGCCAACAACAACAGACAACAATCAACCTGCATAAGTGGAAGGAACCTGAATGAGACAACCTCCTTTACCTTCCTACCTGGGAAGCATCGTCTCAACTACAGGCGGACGGAACTGACGAGGATATCAAAGGAAGGATCGGAAAAACAAAACCAGCTTTCATTACTCTTAAGTCTGTGTGGAGTTCAACAGCACTCAGCATGAGAATGAAAATAAGATCCGGATTTTCAACTCCAATGTAAAGTCAGTGCTACTCACTACACGGATCAGAGACTTGCACTGCGCGTCATAAAGAGCACCTCAAACAAACTACAGACCTTCACTCAATACTCAAGATCAGAAGGCCGGCCATAAAAGGTCAGCAACAGGGATCTCTCGCAATGAGCGAACCAACACAGCAGGAACCGATTGTGAAACAAATAAGCACGAAGAAACGGAGGTGGATTGGCTGGCTATACTCTGAGGAAACCATGACATCACTAGACAAGCCATTGTTCGAGTGGAACCCGAAAGTGAAGCGGTGAGTTAGTCGTCAGTGCAAGAGTGACTTTGAGGAGGTCATGTGAAGAGGAGATGAAAGCATATGGGCAGACTTGGAGCGGGAAGAAAACGTTGGCAGAGAACCGAACGCAATGGAGACGCGCGGCTGAAACCTTTTATTCCTCTAGGAATTAAAGGAAATAATAATAAATAAAATAATAATCACGAAATTCTGACATTTCTTTGAAATGTTAGGAAAGATAAACAGTTTCGATGATTTTTAAAATGGGTGTTTTTATCAACATAATTTAAGCAACTTTTATAACGGTTTCAAGTAGCACAAATATCAGTAAAAGAAAAACAATTTTAAAAGGAATATTAATGCAAATACTTGTCACTGCAAACATTAATCAAACTTTGTTGCTTTTTTATTTGCTTACCTTATCTCTAAGAGATTCTGCAAATGTAGCCGGTGAGCCAGTACAATTGATGAGTATTGCTCCAAGTACTAAATTGTCATAAGCAATCTATTATGTAGAAATGAAGAGCAAAGCAATAATAATAATGATTGATGGTAATTCTTGTTGAAGTATTTTGAGCATCTCTATTCTTGTTGATAATGAAATTAACTTGATTAGTTGACTGTTATTGTTACAGTGAGTAGTGAGTAACAGAAGGTGAGATGAGAATATTGATTAGGCAAGGTATCAAAACAGCAGCCTCTAAATTACTACTGCGACAGTCTACATGGTGAACTAATAGATCAAATCTATTATTAAGTCGTCATCACTTCTGTGTAACCACTCTCCCTGTATGAACACACCTGCTGCAGCTCAGATGGATCTTCCCCAATATATTCAAATCGTACTGAGAATTTAATAGAGAGAAGCTTGTTAATTAATGGTGAAACTAGTAATTGGGAAGCCGCTGATTCATATCATGCTGGAATCAACCCTACCACTTCACTTTCAGTCACTGTCCACTACATCTGTTTGAAGTGACTATGCGACAAGATAAAAAGATCAGCACACCTATTCTTTTCTGTGATACAGTCTCTTGAATAGCTCACTGTGATTACGATATCTAAATGTCTGTATTACATTTGAGCAGGAATTTGTACTAGCGGCTAAACTTCCAGCAAGTTTACAGTCTAAATATTATTAGTGGTGCGTTGGTTACGAATGACTGAACTGCAGAGGAACCTCCTTGCTCTCTATTGAGAAGTCATAAAAGGTTGGGTCAGTAGAATTAGATCTGACACTAGTTACTGATCAGTAGCATTGGAAGACTGTCCTTGATCGCCAAGTGTTTACATTCAAGCAGATACACGTCTCAACCATCTAGATATTAGTTCTTCATATTAGACTGTTGGAAGGAACCAGCGAGAACCTTTGAACCTAGGTTTCATTCTAATTGGCACCCATTAGCAAGGCATATCTGCAACCTTGAACGAACTCATGTCTCTTCTGAGATTTGAACCCGCGTCGCCCAGTGAGTGCTGCAGTCAGAGATGTTACCATTGAGCTATTTGGGCTCGTAATTCACCTCTTGTAGGGCTGTATTGGATATTTTGTGCTTCGATTGGACGCTAGTCAGTAGATAGTGTAATCTGTCTAGTCCTTTGTTAGGTGCAGACTGAATTTTACAAGGCAGGTTTGCACTGTGGCCACCACTTAAGGTGGTTCACCACCACGGTCAATCGCGAGCTCGAATAGCTCAGTTGTAACGTCTCTGACTGCAGCACTCACTGGATGACGCGGGTTCGAATCTCAGAAGGGGCACGAGTTCCATCAAGGTTGCAGACACTGATGCAACTGCTGATGAGTGCTAACTAGAATGAAACCAAGGTACAAGGCTTCCTGCCGATTGCTTCCAACTATCTTGTATGAATAATTCAAACTTAACCATGATGACGATCCACCTAGAATGGTGGCCACATTGCAAACTCGACTGATAGAATCCAGTCTGCACCAGACAAAGGACTAGACACACTACAATAGTCCCTAACTAGTGTCCAGTAAGAAAGATAATAATTTACTCACTCATGAATCCAACAAATCTGACCTCACTTCCCAGCTCTGATGTGTGTACATACACTTCTAAACTAAAACAGAATTGATCGACTATTTTATTCTTTGAGTTTTAACTTGAATCTTGAAATATTATTATCTATTTGTAACACAATAATCATTTTGAAAGAATAATATTCACCTAGTGTTTAAGCCCTTGCATATCTAAATTTTTTCTACGACCTCATATTTTCATAGGGATGACAGGGGTGATTTTCAACAGGATACTTAGCGCAACGCACAACCTTTTCTATTTATCCAGCCAATGAAGTGAAAAGGTAACAAGATTCAAAGGATTTAGTACAAGGAAAAAGATCTGAATTTGCAGCACTAATGTCAAGTCAGTGCTTTCATCAAATCGCTCATACACGTCACCAAACAGATTTCCGACAGTCTACTGAAACAATAACCAAACAAGGTAGTGTGGCAGTGAAAAAAAAGGGTAAGAATCTGGTGCCTGAAAAACAGCCAAGCAGGAATGAAGACAGATTGGAGACATTTTGGGAAAATCGATAAGTGATATCAGAAGGAATGCGAATAGTAACTGAACAGTTGCATGTAAGTTCGAGGGTGACATGGAAAATGTTATGTGAGATGGGGAAAACGCGAATATTTCAACAGCCTTGAAGGTATCTGAAATTGCTAACAGAAATCTGACTACTTTGAAGATGAACCGCAAGCTTGTAGACCATTCATTCATTGAGACACTATCCAACGGCCTATGGATTCCAACTTCTGCTAACGGGATACAAATAGCGCGAAAGGCCAGCCGACGTCATGGGCGAGTAATTGTCCTCTTAACTAATGTGTTAAATAGATACTTGCAGAGCTATACTGTATGGACGGCTACTTTCGAATCACAATTCTTCTCTTCAATAGTTAAATGTTACTACATATTCTAATCTATTCATACAGCCTTATCTAGTGGTTATTTTCACTGGAAGAACTGTTTCATAATAATTCTTGATACGACGTCGTTAAACACACGGTACAATTCCTATAGGCCTCAGAACAAAATGTAGTATATTCACTTAGTAGCCAGCAAGGAGAGTGATATTTTGCAAGCATGTGATAATATTTTTACTACCTCAATTGTTAAACACGAGAAAGTGTTTGATAAAAATAGCAGTAACTGACATTTGAAACCAGTAAAAACGTGACACAGTAAAATGAAATGAGTACTGCACGACATACATGTCTGTGTGTCTGTTTTCGACATAGAACTTTGCACAAATGTGCGGAAGTTCAAGTCGCCACATTCCGTGTAGCACGCGAAGCAAGAGAAGAAAGTACAAGAAAAGCATAATAGAAACAGTGAGCAGAGGTGTGAGACAAAGGAGTAATAAAGAAATACAAAACAGTTTCATTGAAGATCATAAGTCACAGGGAGTGGATGCATCTGCGCCACTGAGAACGATTTTGAGCCATGTCACCAATTGTTTCCAACCATAGATTTTTACCGTCCCGAGGACCCCAGCCTGGAAGTCTACACCTTCCTACGTGGCTTAGACCAACTGTTGTGGATTTCATTGACTGATGCCAAGTTTTTGTTTGACCGCCGCTAGCTTTTTTCCAGCCTGACCCTATATCCGCTAACATTGCTCGTCGAGGGAGGCGATGGCTTGGCATACGTAACACATGTCCTAACCATCTCAGTCTTTGTAGCTTCACGACTTCGTCGATTGATTTCCCCTGTTTACCTAGAACTCTACGCCTAACCTCCATGTTGCTCACCTTATTATGCCACTTTACACGGGAAATAGAACGCAGGCACCTATGATCAAAGACAGCTAGTCTTTTCATGTCTTCCACTCTCAGTGGCCAGGTCTCACAACCATAAAGGAGGACGGAGCGGACTGATGAGCAGTACACCCGCCCTTTGGTCGATAGTCGAACATCTCGTCTACGCCAGAGTCGGCGTAAACTAACAAATGCGAAACGAGCCCCTTGTATTCGTGCTGAGATTTCGTCAGAGATCAGCCCGTTGGGGCTGATGGTACTTCCCAAATAAGTGAAGCGGTCAACGTGCTCTACCACTTCACTTCCTATTTTTAAACTAGGCGTCGATGTAGTCCAGTCCTGTAACATCATCTTGCATTTGGCGGGAGCGAATCGCATGCCAAACATTCGTAGATTGCGGCTCAAGGTGTTTAGAAGACTCTGCATTTCGTCAGCGTCTTCGCCTAGAAGGACTATATCGTCTGCATATTCCAAGTCAACGAGATTATTCCCGGTAGCAAGTCAATCCCTGAGTCGCTGAAGTCACCTAGGGTTAAGTCCATTAACACATCTATGATGAAGTTGAATAGAAAAGGAGATAATGGGCATCCTTGACGGACACCACTGGTCGTCATCAGTTCAGATGACAGCTCGCCGTAAGCCCTCACCTGGCTGTATGAGTACGAATAGAGTGCCTTAATCAGTGCAATATATTTTCTTGGAATTCCCTTTACAGCCAAGCATCTCCAGAGAACTTCCCGATCGACAGAGTCGAATGCTGCCTTTAGGTCAAGAAATATAATGACTGTTGGACGCCGGTAGGAATGCCTATGTTCTAGAATCTGTCGGAGGGTGAAGATATGATCAATACACCCTCTTCCTGGTCTAAAGCCTGCCTGGCTCTCTCGTGTTTGTGCTTCCCGAGCACCACTCAGTCTACGCATGATTATTGAGCCTAAGACTTTAGATACTATATTAGTCAAGCTAATCCCTCTGTGATTATCACAGGAAGACTTGTCTCCCTTCTTGTATATGGGGATAATCAGTGACTTACACCAACCCGATGGGACTTCTTCTGATTCCCAGACGCTGCCTAGTACCTCAGTTAATCCGGACAGTAAGCTGTCTCCACCGTACTTAAATACCTCTGGAGTCATTCCATCAGGTCCCGCTGCTTTGCCTAGTTTCAGATTGGTGACAGCTTTAGTAACCTCAGTTAGTGACGGAGGACCTGTGTCTATATCCCATTCAGGGAGGTGTTGGATGCTCGGAAGGTTGAGCGTGGCTGTGGGCAAATTAAACTGCTCCTCATAATGCTCTTTCCAACGATCCAGTCGTCTATCCTGTGAGCTAATTATAGTGCCATTTTTTTCCGAGATTGTCTCACTAATGATTTGTCTTCTCCCACCCGTTTCCCTGATGAGTCCAAAGAGTTGCCTGGTGTTGCCTATCCTCAAAGCTTTCTCCATCTCTTTGGCTTTTGTCGCCCACCACTGTTCACGGTCCTTGCGGAGACTTTTCGTAAGTTTCCTCTTGTGCAGCTTTCGCTCCTCATTGAATTCGGAGCTCGCCGGAATAAGTCTTCTAGCATCTATCAGTTCGGATGAGGCGGTGGAGATCCAGTGGTTTTTACTCACCTTTGGGTTTACCTTATTCACAGCTTTTACAGCTGTATCTATGGCTGCCTGGATATTTTTCCAAGCTTCTTCAGGGTGAGCACAGCTGTCGAACACAGATAT